CTCGCATGGTCGGGAAATAAAGAGCAGTCAGGTTGCCTTGGGTCTGCGAGATATGCCTTATTCGGCAAGCTATATAGCCATATACTCTTGTGAAGCCTTTCGTTGAATCGATACGGGCTGAAATTTACGCATGAGGAGGCGTGTGGAGACGTTTGTCAGAAGGCCGTGCCACTCTTAAACGCAGCATCGGGCGTGATAAAAAAGTAGGAATATCAGACCATCGCTCTCCAGGGGCCTAGTATGTAAAATAAATGGCTTGCTGCTCTTGGGGATAGAAGTGTCGAAACGGTCAACGAATGTGCTACATGGGTCCCTGAGGTGTCCCAAAGGTCCCTTCAGAGGAGGTGTGTCACTTCATACAAAATTATGGCTTGCGACGTCGTGATTTGGTTCGTCTTCGGTAATTTATGCAGAGCCAAACGGGCATTGATGCCATTAGTGCAGTTTAATTGTTATAGGAGGCGTACGATGTACGTAGGGGCCTCGCTCTTATGTGTCGATGAAAGTGTGGAGTGAGCGTTGTCAGAACACGGAGAGACACTTGGGGCGTCCTGTCCTGAAATAAAAATGAAAACTGATTGCAAACCATGTTTGTGTCATTCTCCTTCCTCTTGTACATCATTCTAATGGCTTTTATTCTAGACAATTTGTAAACGCGTTCATGGCTATCAAAAACCATCTGACGGTGAGCTTGGAGCCAGGACGGTACGACGTCCCAACGAACACGTCCGCAAATGCATAAGCCTCCTAAATCCCGTTACTGTGACATAGCGTAGAAAGGCAATCATATTGGATCACACCTCGACGGCGATGGGAATGGACATTAGGGACTGTGTGGTCGTGTATGGAGATTCCGGACAGTTACTAGTACCCGGAGGATGGAGGCTTCCATATCGAGTCCTCGGTGCCTTGGTGGCAGTGTCCCGCACTGCGTGATCACTGGCTTTCTCTCGACTAATTAATGCCTGTACGCGCGCACATTTGTCATTAAGCGTGTCCGAGGGAGTCAATGTGCGACCATCTGGCCTTTAACGCGGTAAATTGGCTTGCATTTTTGGTTTCTTCCAGATGCTAAGCTACTGGGAAGCCTGAATACATAAGGCTCAGCTCTGATTTACATTTGCGTTTCCTTTCTCAACCTTGATTCAGTCGACAGGTGGATCGCTGAAGGGAAAGTACCTTCTAAGTGGGGTTTCTGCTGGGAGCGCCGCACAAGTGTCAGCAGCAAGACTGACTTTCCATTCCTGCCAAGGCTGCGGCCTCAGCCTTGTCCTGTCGGCTTGTGGCCTGTCATGGCGGACACCACTTCTGAGGAAAAAAAGAAGAAACTTTCTCGTAAAGAACGCGAGCGGGAGCTGCGGGCGTTGACGTCGGACGGGCGGGGTTGCGGTTTTAAGAAAGACTTAGTCGCAGACAGGCACTTGGACGACCAAAGGTATGAACGTGAGATCGCGTTCAAGAAGCAGCAACAGGCTGCCGCTGCCGCTGCAAAACGCGGCAGTGGGGGCAAAGACAAGGCAGGCGCCGTGATTCCAGGTGTGACGCTGGGGGCCCCACCACCTTCCGCGGCATTCGACGCGTTGATTCGGATGGAAGCTGGCCTTGGACAACGGACCATCCACGACAATATCAACGACCCCAACCGACCGAGCTGGGAGGATTACAAGAAGGCGAAGGCCGATAAACTCGACCTGGTGGGTGGCAGTGGGAAAGGGTCCCAAGGACGGGCCCTGCGCAGGTTTTTGACCGGATTAGCTTGTCGTCCGCTTTTCAGTGGGGCGAAGGTTCTCGTTACCTTGTTCCCGCCATGTTTTGAATACATAGCTCACGAATCGATATTTTCGCCTACCCTTCCCACAGGCAGGTGCCGATGAACGGAAAATGATTGAATATCGGGCCCAGCTGGACGCAGAGCGGGCTCGGCGTTTGGCTCAAAACCGTGGGGAGAAGGAGGAGAAGGATGGGAAGAAGAAGAGTCGGCGGAAGGAGGGAAGGAAGAAAAAGGGGAGGAAGAAGGACGAGAGGAAGCGGGAGGGGAAAAAGAAGAAGCATCACAAGAAGGAGGACAAGAAAAAATCTCACAGGAAGCGAAAGCGTTCCTCGTCCGAGGAAGGGGACGAGATCAAACGCTCAGAAGGGAGGAAAGAAGAAAGGGGTGAGAAGAGGCAGAGAAACGACGAAGTAGGACAAGAAAGAGTGGAGAATAAGGCCGACGGTGGCGGGGAGATGGAGACGGAGAGCGT